GAGTGTGAAAGTGTGTGAGTGAATGAGTGAGTGTGAAAGTGTGTGTGTGAGTGAATGAGTGAGTGAGTGATAATGAATGAATGTGAACGAATGAATCAGAATGTATGAAAGTGAACGTGTGTGAAAGAGAATGAATGAGTAAATGAGTGATTGAATGAGATTGCGTGTGTGAGAGAGTAAAGTGAGAGTGAGAGAGGATGAAGCAAGCTGCAGACTCACTGTATAGGCTCCGCTCCCCGCTGCCGCCCACTGTGCCGTCCTGGTTAATCTGTAAATGCCAGCTGCTTGCGCTGCCCTTGCTGTGCTCGGTGTACAGGTACAGAAAGCGGATCGTCTGCTCCCAGCCCGAGTCTAGGTGTGGGCCCGAGTCCGGTGATGCGAGCGGCTGTGCTGCCGGCCCCCAAACCAGGCTCAGCTGGGTTAGGAGCAGGAGCCAGATGGCCGTTCGCGCCGTCCTGCAGCGGGCTAGCCGGCGATGGGCTAGCTCCGGGAAACCCCAGGCAGTAGACATTGGTGTAGGCAAAGAGAGACTCAGGCAGGTTCTCCTCTCTCTGTGTGTGTCTCTGTGTCTGTCTCTGATCAGACAGACCTGGGGGCGCAGCCTTTTAAAGGGTTCATTGCTTATCAGCAACATCGATACGCCTGCTCCCAAAAGAATTAATTGAAACTCGGTCATAATAGTATTTCTTTTAAAATGCCCGCCCACTCGTGTCTTGCATCACAGACGCTCAGGGATATCCCAACCTTGAGCACTGTGTGCGAGTGTCTGTGTGTGTGTGTGTCTGTGTGTGTGTGTTTGTGTGTCTGTGTGTGTGTGTGTGTGTGTGTTTATGTGTGTCTATGTGTGTGTGTCTGTGTGTATGTGTATGTGTGTATGCATGTGTGTGTATGTGTCTGTGTGTGTGTCTGTGTGTCGGTGTGTGTGTCTGTGTGTGTCTGTATATGTCTATATTGTTTATCTGTGTCTCTGTGTGTGCGTGTATCTCTGTGTGAGCGTGTGTATGTCTGTGTGTGTGTCTGTTTAACAGTGCCCCAGCTTTATAACACTGCCATTCAGTGGGATTCTCAATCTAGGCTGCCCTGGGAATGGCCCCCACACTAACAGAGAGACCCTGCATGGTCAGATCATTCTGGGAAACACACCTCGCGGAATTAGGAAGCGGTGATGAACCGGGCTTTGGGGAAGTCGGTATTTGATGAGGATTTGAGTCTGTGCACCGGAAGGAAACGGAGCCTTGCGGGCACATACAACAGCGGGAAAGAAACCCAAAATTTTCTATTTGTTTCGGGTCCTATATTGTTCAGGACGATCCTAGCTCTGGCCGAGAACGCAGTAGGGTGTCTTGCTTTGCGGTGAAATGTTGTGGGGTTAAGTTTAGGAGGAATTCTCAGTCTCGGTGGGATTTGCCAGCTAAGGCCGGCTGAGGGCACTCTCTGATCACAGACAGTTCCCAGGCAACGATCCGGCCGGTGCTAACAAAACCCCTGACATGGTGGGAAAAGATGAAAGAGGTTAAGAAGCAACGACCTCCTTTGCATCTCTCCCGGTACATGCAGCAACGTTGTTAGATTGGGACCGGATTTCTTTTCCACAGTGTTTCCCATCTCTGCGGGGATCCATTCCTTGCAAGTTTGATTGTTCCCTGGACCCTCAACAAGTGAGCATAAGGACATTAAAGGCACGCTCCAAACAAAGGCTTTTGCGCAAATTGTGCGCTTACAAAAAAAACCCACACTAGTGAACACAAGCAATGCAAAGAAAAGCCAGTCATATTAAATGGCCAGAGCTCACTTTTTTTTTCGTTTTCCCTGTCTTTCAGTCGCCTTTGATTCTTCTGTGTTCCTCTTTGATTTTTGTCTTTTCTCTTTGATTTTTGGTCTTTGCTTTTCTCCCTCTTTGTTTTGATTTTCTCTGTCTCTGCCTCTTTGTTGGAGCCTCTTTTATCTTGCTGGCACCCTTCTCTGTTTACATAGATCATCTTGTTCATTCCGTGCCATTGATTTTTTTTCCTCTTCCGCTTGACCATTCTGTGCATCTGTCTCCAAAACCTGTCTCCCGTTTGCCTCAGTATTTGCTCCCTCTGATTCCCTCCGGAGTCCTGCCTCAACCATCCATCACTGGCCTCCTCCTGCTCTGCCGAGGCTTTGTTCACTTTTTGAAAACCTAGTCAGCCCAGGATCAGTTGGTATTTCTCTCTCCAAACAGATTCACTCTTTTGAAGACTGATGCAGACTATCATTCCTTATCTATCTCAGGCTATCTTCCCTTCAGGGATCTCCCTATCATAGACAAATCCCCTCTAAATCCCCCACTACTCCTGGTTTCAGAAGAATTTATTGATAATTGGGGCAGACTTCATTGATATTTTGGACATGTCCTGCTTAGGATGCATGACAGTGCATAATAAATATTTAATTTAAAAATAGTTTTAATTAAGTAAATATATGCTCACAGAACTTGCAAATATTTTGCACCAAATCATAAATTTCACTCATTTTAAAAATATTTTTCTCCATTTTTGCACCCCTTCATTCTGCTGGTGTACAAGTCTATCCAAGTGCTCTCATCCTCAGGTGCATGTGGCCACACTTCACATTTGAACCTTAGTACATAGAAATGTCATTGCAGTTACAAGGCAGAAACAGGTCTTCCTGATCAAACAGTCCTTTTCAGAGATAACCTCCAAACAAGCAAACCAGTTTAATCACATTTAGCCACTCTGTTTACATCTGCTTTTTCAATAATCCACCATTCAATCTAATCTTGAATTTGACTGATTGTCATGAATCTACCAAACCTGCATATCTTTGGACTGTGGGAGGAAACCTGAGCACCTGGAGGAAACCCACGCAGACATGGGGAGAATGTGCAAACTCCACACAGTCACCCGAGGGTGGAATCAAACGCAGGTCCCTGGTGCTGTGAGGCAGCGGTGCTAACCACTGAGCCACCCTATGACCCAACAATGCATTTTAACATTCATTGCATAGCCTTACTTCTGAGGCCAGCAGCACTTACACAATATTACTCCCACATGGAAAAGCCAAATTAAAGAATGAGATAAAAACACTTTGGAGTGAATGTACCCCTTTGACATTTAAAGGTGTTACCATCACTGAATCACCTACTGTCAGCATCCTGGGGGTTACCATTGACCAGAAACTCAACTGGGCCAGCCATATAAATACTGTGGCTTCAAGAGCAGGTCAGAGGCTAGGAATCCTGCAATGAGTAACTCACTTTGTGACTCCCCAAAGCCTGTTGACCATTTAGAAGGCATAAGTCAGAGGTGCAATGAAATAGTCTCCTGGATGAGTGCAGCTTCAACAACACTCAAGGAGTTTGACACCATCCAGGACAAAGCAGCCAACTTGATTGGCACCACATCCACAAACATCCCACTCCCTCCACCAGTGATGCTCAGCAGCAGCAGTGTGTACCATCTACAAGTTGCACTACAGAAATTCATTAACTCTCCTTAGACTGCACCTTCGAGAGTGACAACCACTTCCACATAGAAGGACAAGGGCAGTAAATACATGGGAAAACCACCACCCGCAAGTTCCCCTCCAAGCCACTCACTATCCTGAGTTGGAAATATAACACCATTCCTTCAGTGTCAAATCCTGGAATACTGTCCATAACAGCATTCTGGGTCAGGTGACTATGAGGGTGTCCTCGCTCTTTCCCTTGGGGATGTGGGGTGGAGGGTGTTGCATGCAGCAGTCCCTTGTAACTGCAGATTGCGGTGGTTCACAGCCTAATTGCTTGCTCTGCGACACTGTAGAGTCTGAGGACCATGCGTATATTGGTTATGAGCGTTTGCACTCCCTTTTCAGTTACTTAAAAAACCTTTTGATATGTTTTTGGTTGCACTTCAGCCCCACGTTCCTGATCTTTGGGCGCCCGTGTGAAGGGGTGCAGGCAGGTAGGAGGATCTCCTCGTGGGTCTGCTCTGGGGCCTGGCCAGGCTTGCAATGAACAGGTCCATGCAGTGGGCTGTGGAGGGGGTCATTTCAGCTGACTGCCTGTCCCTCTTCCATGGTCTCTCCTTGGAAAGGGAGCACACGTGTCCACCAAAGCTTTCGATGCCTTTAGGAAGAGGTGGGCACCACAGGGGATAGAGTGCTTTATTTCCCCATTCGGTTCTATTTTGATTTAATCCCTACCCTTCCCCTTCAGTTTCTTCATCTAAGTACTGCCCTTCTTGGGCTTTGCTTGTTACTGGTTCCCTGGCCACATGGGTGTTTTCCTGGTGGTGGAAATATTGAATAAAGTCTTTTGCACATGGTGCCTTCACTGAGTCCCTGCACTTACACACACACAACACGGGTGCTGTGGGAAAAATAAGTATTCCAGATTGGGACTCCCTCTGTTGGTACTTGAGCATGGTTGTCTTAAGTGAATAAAATGCACAATGCAATTCTCAGCACATTACATTACTGTCATTTGTAAATGTGTGACATTGTGCATTTCGATGGTTTGTTTTCAACAATGAACTGAAGTATATTGCATACAGTCAACTTCACCAGTTACACTATTAAGTATGTAGGAATCTTCAGAAGACCACAAAAATTTGGCATTGTGGATGCTTTGCATAGCAAACACTGAGTGTCTTTAAAATTACTCTACCTTGAGGTCAGTTCCTGGGAACCATACCATTTCTTTAATGAGTAGTTTGTTTTTGGCAATTACCCAGTAACTTTCATGGTTTTAATGACAACACATTCCCTGAATGAACACAAAATGACAATGTGTGTTACATGAGATCAGATCCGGCTGTAATGGTGAACTCATTTTGGACATTGTGCAAGACCTTGTTGATAGTAAGAAAGTTTGTTTGTAAACACATCTCAATCAGGTCTTTCCAGTTCTGTCATTCCATAGTCATCACACATAGTTGTAATGTTGTCTTTTTTGTTGTTGTCACTTTGAAGTCAGGTAATTTTAGTGACATTGACACATCATTTAGATTTTTGAAGTTAAGATGCTATTTGGCACACTTTTTTTCATGACTACTAAGATTGACTGTTGTTAACAGATGCTGTGAAACACATGGAAATTGACCTTTCGTTGCTTCAGTATCCAAAACTCTACTCGAGTGGCTGGTTTGTGTGTGGAATGTCAAGCAATCTCTTATTATTGGGTATTATTTCAAACCCACTTCCATACATTGAAAATGATTTTGTCACTTTTTTAATTCACTTCTGGACTTGTCCCTGGCTGGGCCAGCATTTATCGCTGTCTCTAGTTGCCCTTGACAAGAAGATGATGAGATGCTTCTTGAACTGCTAGCCTACATTCGTTTCGTGAATAACATTGCTCAAAAAACATTCTGAATCTTCTTGCTGTTGCAATGATTTATCAGTTACCTCCCTTGTCTTTCTGCAAGAGAATCTCACCCAAGCTAACTAGATTTATATCCAAGACTGAGTGATATTCTCAGGGTCAAATTAAATGTTCGTGCAACTTGCCGACAACTACTTTTTGATCTGCAATACAGCATTTGT